AATAAACTCAAAATATGCCAAAATTCATAATAAACCAAGGGATGTATTAATAGAATTTGCAGGGAAAAAAAACAAGAGATATGATATTGCAAATACATTTTGAGAATAGAATTATTATTGGGGGAAAAGATATAATTGTATTAAAGGAAATTCCTATAAGGATTTTAAAAAAGAGAAAGGAATACATATTTTTGACTGATATATTGAAAAAAAATAAAATAAAATTGCCAAAATTATCTCAGACACAGAAATTAATAATTAATAGCCCAATAACAACACAAGAAATAGTAGAAGCAATAAAAAAGCAATAAATTAGGAAAAACACCGGGACCAGATGGCATACTGATAAGATATTATAAATGTTTTATAGACCAAATTATTACACCCTTTAAAGACTTAATGAATTCAAAATTGACAGGAACAACAATACCGAACACTTGGAAAGAGGCAAATTTGATTTGTTGATTCCAAAAGAAGGACAAGACCCAACCTTAGTTAAGAATTACAGACCAATATCTTTACTAAATAACGATTATAAAATCTTTACATCAGTCTTGGCAGAAAGATTAAAAATAATATTACAAGAAATTATTAATGAAGATCAATGTGGATTTTTGCCCAAGAGACAACTGAAGGATAATATAAGGATTGCAGTTGATATAATAGAATATGCATAATATCATAATGAATCCCAGATAGTACTAATATTTCTAGATGCGGAGAAAGCTTTCGATAATTTGAATTGGAGCTTTATGTTTATGATACTAGAAAACATGGATTTCAGAGACTCATTTATAAAAGGGATTAAATCTATCTATACAATGCAAACAGCAAACATTATTGTGAATGACGAATTGACAGAAGACTGTAGAATAACAAAAGGAACTAGACAAGGCTGCCCTTTATCACCATTATTATTTATATTAGTTTTAGAAGTCCTTAATAGAGATATTAAGGAAGATAAGCATATTAAGGGTCTAAAAATTAAACAAGAAGCCTTCAAATTAAGAGCATTTACAGATGATCTATTACTGATATTACAAAACCCCTTAGAATCTGTAGAATGACTAATCCAAAAATTGAAAGAATTAGGATCACTAATAGGATTTAAAGTAAATAAACAAAAAACAGAAATGTTAACAATAAATATACCATTGAATGACTTAGAAATGTTAGAGAAAAAAATAGGTTTTAAAAATGAAAAAAAGGTAAAATACCTAGGAGTAGTTCTTACACCTAAAAATAGTGCATTATTTCAAAATAATTATAGTAAAATATGGAAAGAAGTAAAACAAGATATGGGTAGATGGGAGAAGTTGCAATTATCATCATTAGGAAGAATTTCTATAATTAAAATGAATATATTACCTAGGATGTTATTCTTATTTCAAACAATACCAATATTATTAACAGAAACAGTATTCAAACAATGGCAAAAAGATATTTCTAAATTCATCTGGCAAGAGAAGAAACCATGAATTAGATACAAATTACTGCAGGACGCCAAGGAAAGAAGAGGGTTGGGACTACCGGACTTAAAATTATATTATGAAGCATACTGTGATGGAATGGAATTATGAAGGCCAGACTCAGGGAGAAAAACATTTTCTTTCATCTCCTGAGGTACGAGGGAGAGATAAGAAGATGTGATGGAATGGAATTATGAAGGCCAGACTCAGGGAGAAAAACATTTTCTTTCATCTCCTGAGGTACGAGGGAGAGATAAGAAGATGAGACTGGCACCTCCCTGAGGAATTCACAATGTTGTGGCTGGCATTACTTGGGAACTGGGGTTTTAGTCTAGGAAAATTTTTGCTAGAGGGTGTAGGTAATAAAAATT